GTATGTAAGCTCTTCCCAAAATTTTTCCAGCCATACCAACATAAAAATTTACACCCTCTAAAGTTTTTTTTTTCTTCTTGATTGGAAAAAGATGTTTCATATTTAATTCAATATTTGATGAAGCCAGTCAAAGTCGCCCCCCCCCCCTCAACCGCCCTAGAGCTTTACCAAGCTAGACCTCTTATTACATATATATATATATATTTAGTTGGGTGAAGTTAGAAAATGCAAAAATGGTAATAGATGACATTCTACTGCCAGTTATTTCTATTAATTTTTTCTTTGGTATTTTTTCTTAAGCTGTGACGGGATTGAGTTAGCCAAAGTAGAGGAGATTTGTTTTAAGCCTGGTTCATTTAAGGGAGCGAAGTGGAAATTCCTATTCAGGCCTTTTAAAAATAATAATTATTCTTGGTACCGTACACTCGAGACAAACTTGTATCATTGTATGCCAGTTAGGCTGCCGCTAACTTACGTGCAATTATTTCAAACTGATAAAGACGATCTCATTCTTTTTACTGCTTTTGTGTAGCTTATCAGCGCGTTAAAAGGCAATTAAAAGCGAACCAGTCTATGTCGTACACATTTTTGCGTTAAATTTAAATGTGCTCAAATTCTGGGGTGTTTGCCGAATTGTAAGAAGCACTTGAAGAACACCCCATTCACTGTTCCATTTTCTCAAAATGATTTTATTAGATTTTTTTTCATAACTAACTCTGCGATTTTCCTCCTCATGAGGCCTAATTCCGCGGCACACCTTGAAGCACCTCGCGGCACACCACTGACTCGAGGACTTTATGATTGCAAGGCCCCCCAAAAAAAGAAAAAAAAAAAAGAGGGCAAATGCTTATGAAAGACGGGTAAGACGGAACCTCTACTCAAAACATTTATTAGCTTTTTTTTCATAACCACCTCTGCGATTTTCCTCCTCATGAGGCCTAATTCCGCGGCACACCTTGAAGCACCTCGCGGCACCCCACTGACTCGAGGACTTTATGATTGCAAGGCCCCCCAAAAAAAGAAAAAAAAAAAAAGAGGGCAAATGCTTATGAAAGGCGGTTAAGTCGGTATCTCTAGTCAAAACTAATCTTTGAGATAGAATGGAGGTCGTGAAAGGTCCCCAAACTCTGTGTGCGGACAGCCACCTCAATCTTCTACAACTCTGGATGATATAAATGTATTTGAGATAATCATCATCATCATCAATGGCACTACAGCCCATGTAGGGCCCTGGCCTGCTCTACCACATCCTACCATTCGGAGCGATCCATGGCTTTCCGTCTCCATGCTCGAACCCCCAACTGGTGTAAATCCTTCTCCACATCATCAATCCACCTAATCCTTGGGCGGCCGATGAGATAATCGGTTTTTTAAAAAAATGGTTGCGCTATGGAACTGTGCCTGTCATTATTAGCCGCCTGCCCTGTTAGCGCTCCAGTCAGCAGCCTACATCACTGAGCACGTGAAGAGTCAGCTGCCAACAACATCATTTAACACGTGAACATGAGGTATTGGTAAGATCCAATTAGATCTTAGAATATAGTAAATTTAACCTACTGCCTATAAGCTACAACAATGTCAACAGGATCTGCACTCGAGTTAAGCACACACTCCAAGAAAGTGGTGAACAACGTGTCATGATTCATTATCAGTTGCAAGGTTCATTATTATAACACAAAGCGTACTTCGGTATTGTCTGAAATAATATACCCGGTATTTCGAAAAGCGTCTCCGAAAAAGAGGTTTCTATATTCCATGGGGAACTAGGGTCCTCGCTTGGTTCTGTAAGCTCTTAAGCAAATTAGATCAAATAGTTTACTATTTTGATTGAATTGTTCAGTTTTGACTTGAAAAGATCTACCGGAATAAAATTCGAAATTTAAATAATCTAGCAATTTCATATGCAGACCAAACATACTTTTAAATGTGTAAAAAAATATGTGTACCGCGTATATCTTTCTTGAATTTGTTTAATCAAATTTTAGTATTTTTTACGGACACCTAACAAAAAAAAAAAAGTCACACAAATGTCCACAACTGCGTGAAGGTAAAATTCAAATTCTGAAGCAATACGAGTGGTTATTAATTTATTGTTCCTGTCTAGCCGTAAACTTAATAAGCATCAGTTTTCGCACGAGGACGGAATGTTGATTGTCTCGTCTAGGACTTCTCATTCCTTGGGGGTTTTGCCTACACCGGTAAAACGGGAGTACAGTCTTCTTCGTCCTGGGATCACTTGTTAGTAGTTGCGCCATTGTCCACGGCTAGACTAGTATCCCTAGTAATGGATAGAAGCTAAACATAGTTTTGTAAAGCAAAAATTTGATATAACCGCCTGTACGAGGTTTGCATACGTTACAGGTCGCTAATTCTAGTTTCAAATCCGTCACTAAATATTTACAACCCAAATGTTTCTAACACATGTCTTTGTTGTTCAAGACCACCGGAGCTCATCGATGTGTCACGACAAAATCACATGTCTTTGTTGTTCAAGACCACCGGAGCTCATTGATGTGTCACGACAAAATCACATTTCTTTGTTGTTCAAGACCACCGGAGCTCATTGATGTGTCACGACAAGACATGCTCATTGATGTGTCACGATAAAATCACATGTCTTTGTTGTTCAAGACCACCGGAGCTCATTGATGTGTCACGACAAAATCACATTTCTTTGTTGTTCAAGACCACCGGAGCTCATTGATGTGTCACGACAAAATCGCAAGTCTTTGTTGTTCAAGACCACCGGAGCTCATTGTGTCACGACAAAATCACATTTCTTTGTTGTTCAAAAACACCGCTCTCCGCGATGATAAAAATCAAATATTTTATTGGTAAAAGTTAAGTACAACATGGACCTAGCAATGTCAACACCTTGTTATATCATACATACAAAAAAAAACCAAACCTATTTAATTGAATATTGAATTTAATAATTTTTTTTAATGTGGATATTTGAGATAAATTAAAATTATTGGTTAAGCTTTTTAAATACAAATAAAAATGATATAATATTTATTAAAGTACATTTTGTGATGCTATTGAATTAGCCTACTGTAAAAAAAAAAAAATAATTAACCGATACCCTAGATACGAAGACAATTTCATGGGGAAGAAACAAATAGTTTCGAATAAATGGATCATTTCATTATTTTTTTTTAAATGATAAAAAATAACTCATTTGAGTCATTTGATTTTCAAGGAGTACCATATGGATACAAAACAATTTAACCAGTCATTTTGGGACTAAGTTAAGTTAATTTTTTATACAAAATCTTTATTATGAGGTTATGAGACGTGGTGAGCATAATATATCTTGTGGATGCGGTTTGACTTGTTCAAATGTTTGTACCTCACGCAGGGCCACCAGTCTAGTCTTTAAAAAAAAAAGTGAGTTGATAGCGGGTTTAAAAAAAAAAAGTCTGCAACTTATACGCAATTAAGGAGACTGGGGAGTTGGAATGAATTTTAACCCCCCCAAAAATGAATTTGCATATTACTATTTTCGCAATTTTTTCTTCGCTTTAGGAGGGCTCTAGCTTTCTTGACCGGTCTAACCGTGGTAGGTGTTGGAAAATGGTGACGATAATAGTAACTATATGCTGGAACGTAAGGGGGGGGTAAGGCTGGGGAGTTTGGGGGGGGGGGTACGCGAGATGGGGGCGCTCATAGAAAGAAAGAAAGAAAGAAAGAGCTGTACCTCAGAAATCCCATCTGTTACGATGTCGTCGTCATCAG